GTCAATTACGTCCTCACTTAATAAAATTTGCATCAATGAAATCCCTTCCGTTAAATCCGTACAAACGGCGTTACTTAATAAGAGAGAAAAATAATTAACGTCGTTTGTACGGATTTAACGGAAGGGATTTCATTGATGCAAATTTTATTAAGTGAGGACGTAATTGACGCATTTTTTAAAGGATGGACTAATTTGACATTTTCGAGCGAAACTGGAGACAAAATAGGGTATTAAGCCATAAATAAATAGACAAATATATATATATATATATATATATATATATATATATATATATATAATTAAAAACAGATGTGTTACGCATCTATGTGTTGTTTTTTTATAATAACAAAAAATAATAAAATTATGATAATAAAAAAATATAAAAATAATTTTTACGATTATAGATAATTTTATTTATTTAATTTTGAAATAGTTAAATTTTAAAAATCATTAAATTTGAATTAAGGTCAAATAAAAGTGAAAAAAAATATGAAGATCAAAAAGAAAAATCATCTTTATATAATAGTATAGAAATATAAATAACTAATGAAAACGAATTATTGCGCATGTGTGTTGATTTTTTTTATGATAATACAAAATAATAAAGTTATTATTATAATTATAAAATTAAGTATAAATAATTTTTATAATTTTATCATAAGTTTTTTTTCTTTAAGTAATTTTTCAATTAAAAAAACACTTAAGTTTAAAAAATAGTAAAAAGAAACAATTAAATTTAAATAAAGCACTTAAAAACAATATTGATAAAATAATAATTTTAATTAAAAAAATATTTAAAAGATAAAATTATTTTTTTCTCTAGTTTTATATTATGCAAAGTTACATTGAGTAGAGTTCATTTAGATTACAAGTTCAAGTTCTTTGTGATTAACACGATTTCCTAAAATATTTAGCAACATGTTTACTAGTTACATTTAGTAAAGGTAATATAACCAGTTTTAGTCAATATCCAATTTAACTGATTTTAGAAAATAAATGAAAAATCTCTGCTTGCCTCAAGACTTGGAGCTGCGGCGGTCAAGTTTCTTTTCTCCTGTCTCTTTTTTTCTCACTTTTTGATCCTTAATCTAAAGCCATTCACAGCTTAGCATGTAGTTATTTGTTAGTTATTCATCCCTTAGCATTTTATTATTTGCCTAGAACCTATTCGACAAAATGTTTGAACTACTGTCCCTGTTATTCTCTCTTTGAAGGCTATTACTGTTTGTTCCAGAGAGAGACAATGGATACTGTCACTGTTTATGGTAAGTGGGAGATTGTCTATTGTTTATGGTAACATGGCAAAAGCTTGTGAAGAGTTCTATATTGCTTTGTCACTTTTGGCCAAGAGAGAAAATGTGGAAGATTCCCTCTGTTCAGTCTCTCGTCCACGTTGCAAGGCTGTAAAAGAACTAAACTTTGATAGAGTTCTTGATGAAATTAATATATTGAAGGTCAATTTCTTGATGGAGAATTCTGTCATTAAGACGATGGAGCATGAAAAGTATTTGTAGTGTGTATCCCTGCTTTCTCCACTTTTATTCTGCATGGGGAATGTCTACCCTGATTCATTCTATAATTACAACTTACCTAATAGTTATCTATAACTAGCCTAATAATGAGCATCTAGAAGTATTAATTACTCCTTCTTGAATAAACGTAATTGTGCCATCAACTTGATAAAAATTTCGAAAAAGTCACATCCTCATTACTTGTTCTGTTTGCTTGTGGATATTTTTGGCTCAGATTTCTCAAAGAAATGCAGGAACTTGATGGGCTCAATTTCTTTGATTAGTTGTTTTGGCATTTTTTTTCGTGATTTTTCTTTCCTATGTTTTTTAGTGTAAGAACCCACTGAAACTCTTATTTTTCTGCCAAGCCAGAAAAAAAAGAAAGAAACCAAATTAATTGTATTTTAATTGGAACTTCGTCGTGTTATCTTGTTTTCTTCTTTACTGTTTCATTGATTCCACTAAAAGATAGTGATATCTTTGACCTGTATTCATTTTACTGGAATCCTTTTGAATTGGGAAAGCCTTTTCCAGCATAGCTTATCCTTCATGATTATCAGTTATACAAATTATGATATTATTTTTCAGTGTAAGTATATCATATATACTTTTACATTCATTAGAAAGTATAAGGATAAAATGGTCATAAAAATATAAGTTTTTGTATTTTTTTTTTTAAAAAAAAGAGAATAAAAAGTAGAAAAAGGTAGTGTCAAATAAATATATAAAATTTAAGTGTGTTAAAAAATATTTTTCCCATTTTTCACTGAATGTGTATGGGTCAATCTTAAGTGGCATTTCACTATGAACAATTCTATGATTCGTTTTAAAGCCATTCAAAGACTAATAAGACATGGTTGTATGCCTTTAGAATGAATTTATATAATAACTTGTAATAATGTTAACTTTTGTATTTTATTGTAGGAAAGCTCTTTTGTTATATTAGTTTATCTTTTTTTTTTTCTATTTGTTTGTTCATTTTGTTTCTTCTTGTTTGAGCATGATCACCTTTATAGTAAGAGTAGAAAATAATATCTTTTATGAATAGATGTTAGGAGAAGATGGAGTTGACATATATAGAGTAAAACGTTTGATTTTCAGGTTCATTTGTTTATTAAATATCTTATTACACTTTTGGTTATGTGTAATATCTTTTAATAGGTAGGCTACTGCATATATTTTTCTATTATAAGTCATATTTAAATATCTAAAATAATATATTATATATATTATTATATATTTTGTTGAGTTAATTATTTTGTATTATTGAAGATATATAACGAAATAATAAAATTTATAAAAATTTTACCATTACATAATTGTCTATATTAATTGTGAGGAGTTGATACCTATTTATTTTTTTCTCTAGTTTTATATTATGCGAAGTTACATTGAGTAGAGTTAAAAGTTCAAGTTCTTTGTGATTAACACGATTTCCTAAAATATTTAGCAACATGTTTACTAGCTACATTTAGTAAAGGTAATATAACCAGTTTTAGTCAATATCCAATTTAACTGATTTTAGAAAATAAATGAAAAATCTAAAATATTGAAAAGAAAAGGCAATGCTTATTTGTTTTCTTATTATAGACTATTTAGACACTAATTTTTTGATAGTTAAAATCTAGATAGGTAATGTTAGAAACCAAATTAAGTTTTAATTTATAAATTATAACAGAAACTATTTTAAATATTAATATTTTTTTAATATATAAATTAATATCTAAATCTATTACTATACTAATTACTTATCTTTTGTCCTAAAATTAGTTTTTGTTTAATGATTTTTTGTAGTGTACTTTACAAAATTCAAATAGACTAAATTCTCAAACAATTCTATAAAGTAAGAATGAATTAGCCAAGTAATATTGTGTTGAAAATTTTTTGTGAGCAATGAGGGCAATGATAGGAGCATAGGATATCATATAGAAATGGATCTATCAAATGAGATAGACTCGATATGTCGGGTTATTTGGGACATGCATGATGTAGAAAACAAAAGGAGACGACAATGATTATACAAAGTTCTTGGGAGAAACCATTGTCGTATACGAGCTTTTCTATATTCTCCATGTGACACCAAAACCAAAAGGAAACAAACTAATATAATCAGTACCATGAGAAACGTCTCAATTCTATAGCTGTAAATTAGCTATTAGTTTTTGTTGTAGAAAACAAAAGGTGAGATTAATGCTTAGCATAGTCTCATATATCTTGAATTCGTTGTATAAGCTCACTCTAGGGCACTCACAATCTGCATGCATGGCGAAAGCAACACACATAGCAGTGATTCCCAGTGTAGGGTTCAGCCATTTCGCCCCCATTATCAACTTCTCAAAGCTTCTCGTGGACCTTCACCCTCACATTCACCTAACATGCATCATTCCGATACTGGGCTCTCTCCCAGATGCTGCAAAACCCATTCTCCAAACCCTTCCACCGAGAATCTCCACCGTTTTTCTTCCACCGGTGAGCCACCGTGACCTTCCTCAGGGGGTTCCCGTGGTGCTGCAGATCCAGCTCGCCATGAATCTCTCCATGCCCTCCATCCACCACACGCTGAGCTCCATCACTTCCAACAACCCTCACGTGGCCATGGTGGTCGACACCTTCGCATATGGGGCACTGGATTTTGCTCAAGAGTTCAACATGTTGTCCTACGTTTACTTCCCCTCTGCTGCAACCACTCTCTGCACGCACTTCTACTTGCCCACGCTCCACAAGGAAACGTTCTGCGAGTACAGAGACCTGCCCCACCCCATCACAGTACCTGGGTGTGTGCCCTTTCATGGCAGGGATCTCTATGCTCAAGCACAGGATCGAAAGAGCCAGTTCTACAAAATGTCTCTTAAACGCTACGAATCCTACCGTTTTCTTGATGGAATCTTCATCAACAGCTTTTTGGAATTGGAGACAGGTATATAACTCCAATCTTTCACTGTATTCTCTTCTCATTACTCTATACCAAAACGGTCAATTGCAAACTATTTCTGATTTTTTTTACTGGAAAAAACAGGTCCGATCAGAGCATTCAAAGATGAGGAAAGGGGTTACCCTCCTCTGTACCCTGTTGGACCAATTGTTCAAACAGGGACAGCTACAGCTGGTTGTACAACAACGTTGGAGTGCCTGACATGGTTGGACAAGCAACAAGACGGTTCGGTTTTGTATGTTTGTTTTGGGAGTGGTGGAACACTCTCACAAGAGCAAACGAACGAGCTGGCACATGGTTTGGAATTGAGCAAGCACAAATTCTTGTGGGTTGTGAGAGCACCAAGCGATGAGGCCAATGCAGGTTATCTCGGTGGAGAAAAAGATGCAGACCCATCAGAGTTCTTGCCAAGTGGGTTCTTGGAGAGGACCAAAGAGCAAGGTATGGTTGTTCCTTCATGGGCACCCCAGATTGAAATCCTGGGCCATGGTTCAGTTGGAGGGTTTTTGACTCACTGTGGGTGGAATTCAACGCTGGAGAGTGTGGTGCATGGTGTGCCACTCATCACCTGGCCACTGTTTGCGGAGCAGAGAATGAATGCTGTTGTGATGAGTGAGGGTGCGAAAGTGGGAGTGAGGCCACGAGAGAGTGAAAATGGGTTGGTGGAAAGAGTAGAAATTGTGAAGGTGATAAAGTGTTTGATGGAAGAAGAAGAAGGAAGGGAAATGAGGAAGAGAATGAAGGAGTTGAAAGAAGCTGCTGCTAATGCTCTCAAAGAAGATGGAGCTTCTACCACTAACCTTTCTCAGGTGGCACACAGGTGGAAAATGTTGCCACATGAAAGAACTTGAGTTTCATTTCAATGGTTTGCTCACAATTTCTGCATTATTGAATAAATTAAATATTGTAATCTTACTTTTATTCTAAATATCTTAGTTTTCATATTTAAAAATAATCATAATTAAATACCTAAATTGGTCTATGAAGATAATAAATCTTAGTTTTTAGGCTTAAATGCTTACTTCGTCCTCATGGTGAATTTCTATTTAGTACCCAGTTTTAAAAATGAAGACATTGGGTTCCTATGTTATGAAAAATGTATGAATAAGGTAATGTCCGTTAAATTGATAGCAACAGCGTTAAGTCCATGCTGTGGCCGTACTTTTTCTCTTCTCTCTTCTGTTGTCCAGTTTTTTCTATCTCTTGTTAAGCTTTTTCTTTGATGATTTGTTGAACTTGTTTTTTCTTTGNGTCAATTACGTCCTCACTTAATAAAATTTGCATCAATGAAATCCCTTCCGTTAAATCCGTACAAACGGCGTTACTTAATAAGAGAGAAAAATAATTAACGTCGTTTGTACGGATTTAACGGAAGGGATTTCATTGATGCAAATTTTATTAAGTGAGGACGTAATTGACGCATTTTTTAAAGGATGGACTAATTTGACATTTTCGAGCGAAACTGGAGACAAAATAGGGTATTAAGCCATAAATAAATAGACAAATATATATATATATATATATATATATATATATATATATATATATAATTAAAAACAGATGTGTTACGCATCTATGTGTTGTTTTTTTATAATAACAAAAAATAATAAAATTATGATAATAAAAAAATATAAAAATAATTTTTACGATTATAGATAATTTTATTTATTTAATTTTGAAATAGTTAAATTTTAAAAATCATTAAATTTGAATTAAGGTCAAATAAAAGTGAAAAAAAATATGAAGATCAAAAAGAAAAATCATCTTTATATAATAGTATAGAAATATAAATAACTAATGAAAACGAATTATTGCGCATGTGTGTTGATTTTTTTTATGATAATACAAAATAATAAAGTTATTATTATAATTATAAAATTAAGTATAAATAATTTTTATAATTTTATCATAAGTTTTTTTTCTTTAAGTAATTTTTCAATTAAAAAAACACTTAAGTTTAAAAAATAGTAAAAAGAAACAATTAAATTTAAATAAAGCACTTAAAAATAATATTGATAAAATATTTATTTTAATTAAAAAAATATTTAAAAGATAAAATTATTTTTTTCTCTAGTTTTATATTATGCAAAGTTACATTGAGTAGAGTTCATTTAGATTACAAGTTCAAGTTCTTCGTGATTAACACGATTTCCTAAAATATTTAGCAACATGTTTACTAGCTACATTTAGTAAAGGTAATATAACCAGTTTTAGTCAATATCCAATTTAACTGATTTTAGAAAATAAATGAAAAATCTAAAATATTGAAAAGAAAAGGCAATGCTTATTTGTTTTCTTATTATAGACTATTTAGACACTAATTTGTTGATAGTTAAAATCTAGATAGGTAATGTTAGAAACCAAATTAAGTTTTAATTTATAAATTATAACAGAAACTATTTTAAATATTAATATTTTTTTAATATATAAATTAATATCTAAATCTATTACTATACTAATTACTTATCTTTTGTCCTAAAATTAGTTTTTGTTTAATGATTTCTTGTAGTTACAAAATTCAAATAGACTAAATTCTCAAACAATACTATAAAGTAAGAATGAATTAGCCAAGTAATATTGTGTTGAAAATTTTTTGTGAGCAATGAGGGCAATGATAGGAGCATAGGATATCATATAGAAATGGATCTATCAAATGAGATAGACTCGATATGTCGGGTTATTTGGGACATGCATGATGTAGAAAACAAAAGGAGACGACAATGATTATACAAAGTTCTTGGGAGAAACCATTGTCGTATACGAGCTTTTCTATATTCTCCATGTGACACCAAAACCAAAAGGAAACAAACTAATATAATCAGTACCATGAGAAACGTCTCAATTCTATAGCTGTAAATTAGCTATTAGTTTTTGTTGTAGAAAACAAAAGGTGAGATTAATGCTTAGCATAGTCTCATATATCTTGAATTCGTTGTATAAGCTCACTCTAGGGCACTCACAATCTGCATGCATGGCGAAAGCAACACACATAGCAGTGATTCCCAGTGTAGGGTTCAGCCATTTCGCCCCCATTATCAACTTCTCAAAGCTTCTCGTGGACCTTCACCCTCACATTCACCTAACATGCATCATTCCGATACTGGGCTCTCTCCCAGATGCTGCAAAACCCATTCTCCAAACCCTTCCACCGAGAATCTCCACCGTTTTTCTTCCACCGGTGAGCCACCGTGACCTTCCTCAGGGGGTTCCCGTGGTGCTGCAGATCCAGCTCGCCATGAATCTCTCCATGCCCTCCATCCACCACACGCTGAGCTCCATCACTTCCAACAACCCTCACGTGGCCATGGTGGTCGACACCTTCGCATATGGGGCACTGGATTTTGCTCAAGAGTTCAACATGTTGTCCTACGTTTACTTCCCCTCTGCTGCAACCACTCTCTGCACGCACTTCTACTTGCCCACGCTCCACAAGGAAACGTTCTGCGAGTACAGAGACCTGCCCCACCCCATCACAGTACCGGGGTGTGTGCCCTTTCATGGCAGGGATCTCTATGCTCAAGCACAGGATCGAAAGAGCCAGTTCTACAAAATGTCTCTTAAACGCTACGAATCCTACCGTTTTCTTGATGGAATCTTCATCAACAGCTTTTTGGAATTGGAGACAGGTATATAACTCCAATCTTTCACTGTATTCTCTTCTCATTACTCTATACCAAAACGGTCAATTGCAAACTATTTCTGATTTTTTTTACTGGAAAAAACAGGTCCGATCAGAGCATTCAAAGATGAGGAAAGGGGTTACCCTCCTCTGTACCCTGTTGGACCAATTGTTCAAACAGGGACAGCTACAGCTGGTTGTACAACAACGTTGGAGTGCCTGACATGGTTGGACAAGCAACAAGACGGTTCGGTTTTGTATGTTTGTTTTGGGAGTGGTGGAACACTCTCACAAGAGCAAACGAACGAGCTGGCACATGGTTTGGAATTGAGCAAGCACAAATTCTTGTGGGTTGTGAGAGCACCAAGCGATGAGGCCAATGCAGGTTATCTCGGTGGAGAAAAAGATGCAGACCCATCAGAGTTCTTGCCAAGTGGGTTCTTGGAGAGGACCAAAGAGCAAGGTATGGTTGTTCCTTCATGGGCACCCCAGATTGAAATCCTGGGCCATGGTTCAGTTGGAGGGTTTTTGACTCACTGTGGGTGGAATTCAACGCTGGAGAGTGTGGTGCATGGTGTGCCACTCATCACCTGGCCACTGTTTGCGGAGCAGAGAATGAATGCTGTTGTGATGAGTGAGGGTGCGAAAGTGGGAGTGAGGCCACGAGAGAGTGAAAATGGGTTGGTGGAAAGAGTAGAAATTGTGAAGGTGATAAAGTGTTTGATGGAAGAAGAAGAAGGAAGGGAAATGAGGAAGAGAATGAAGGAGTTGAAAGAAGCTGCTGCTAATGCTCTCAAAGAAGATGGAGCTTCTACCACTAACCTTTCTCAGGTGGCACACAGGTGGAAAATGTTGCCACATGAAAGAACTTGAGTTTCATTTCAATGGTTTGCTCACAATTTCTGCATTATTGAATAAATTAAATATTGTAATCTTACTTTTATTCTAAATATCTTAGTTTTCATATTTAAAAATAATCATAATTAAATACCTAAATTGGTCTATGAAGATAATAAATCTTAGTTTTTAGGCTTAAATGCTTACTTCGTCCTCATGGTGAATTTCTATTTAGTACCCAGTTTTAAAAATGAAGACATTGGGTTCCTATGTTATGAAAAATGTATGAATAAGGTAATGTCCGTTAAATTGATAGCAACAGCGTTAAGTCCATGCTGTGGCCGTACTTTTTCTCTTCTCTCTTCTGTTGTCCAGTTTTTTCTATCTCTTGTTAAGCTTTTTCTTTGATGATTTGTTGAACTTGTTTTTTCTTTGTGGACCTTATTCATATATTTTTCATAACATCGGGATCCAATGTCTTTATTTTTAAAACCAGGTACTAAACAAAAATTCACTTCTTAACATCGGAACGAAATAAACATTTAAGCCTAGTTTTTATGATTCTTGATTAAAGGTTTTATATAAATTAGAATCATAGAAATTTTTGAAGGGCTTATTTAAATGAAATTTTCAAGAACTTATTTTAATCAAAGACCTATCAGTAATCCACTTTTGAAGATTAATATGGATATTTATTCTTTAGAAATGTTATTACAAAAGTCGAGTGTGTATCCTTTATATATTTTTAAGGGTTTTTTAAACACTTTCAACTTTGAGGTAATCATACTTTGCTGAGTACTTATTCTCTTTAAGTTGGATAGAGATTATGTCTACGTAACACACTTGGATATCAAAATGACTCTAGTATCTCAACAAATAATAAATGTTAATTAATAAATATAATTAATATACTTCATAATTATTTATAATTTTACTTAAATACACCTAGATCCATTGGCCTAACCTGTATTTCCGAATTTAAACGCTTATAAATTATCACAATCAACCATGAACCATTGTGATTAAATATCTTGTATAATGTTGTTTTGATCGAATAAAGATAAACTAAATACGTCTTTAGTAATCTGACAGGTATTCGGATAGAAAAATAAAATTTTATAATTACAAATAAAAATAAGTAAAATAATATATAAAGTTATTAGGCTGTAATGTCGTTTCTAAAAGAAATAAGATAAGAAAAAGGGGAATCCTAAAAGAAATAAGACAAGAAAAAATAAATGAGTGAAAAACTACAATATAGTTATGAAATCTATAGATAATATTATAATTTTAAAAAATAAAGTAAAATAAAATTCAAAGAAAGCACAATTTTTAACTTTATTTTCAATCATTGTTTATTAATAACTTGAGTGATGGAAGTTAGTAAAAATATTAAAATAAGAGTTTTTATATGGCGAAAACTATAATTAAGTGATATATTGATTGGGATTTTTCCTGTCATTTAAATTTACATATTAAAACATAAAAAATTGCTTGGACTGATTATTGTCACTTGTTTTAGAATGTGTATTTTTTTTTTCAGTTTTAGATTTGTACATTTTTTTTATTTTACTTTTACACTCCATCTATTTAGGATGATAAGTGTGAAAAAAAAAGTAAAAAAAAAGTGATAAAGAAAAAACATATGACAAAAGTTGAAATAATTTTATATATATATAATTTTTTATAAATATAAAAAAATATTATTTATAAAGATATTAAATTATAAGATTATATGGTTTATTAATGTTTATGTTTTTATTTAACATAAAAAATTTGTAAAATAAAATATGGCTCAAAAATCAATCAAAAGAAGAGTGAATTGGTTGAATAAAAAACTTCTTGAAATTAAATGTTTTTTCTTAAGAACTGATGTTGAAGAGGATAAAAATTGGTTATACTTTAAAGAAGAAAAACCAATATAATATAGTTAAGATAAAAAGAAAAGGAAACATATATATTTTTTATATGATTTCAATTCAATATAAATATGTGTCTAGTTTAGTTCAAATAATCTAGACTGTTTCATTATATTATTGATTTATTTGTTATAGGATACAATTAACAAACGAAAACTTATAACCTTCTTAAAAATTCCTATAATAATACAACACAGGTGTATACAATCAAAATAAAATTTATAAAGATAGGAAGATGTTATTTGAAGTGACACATATCACAAGAATAACAATATAAAATTTATAGAATTTTTTATCAGACTTAGGATGACGAATGAATTTATCTCCAGTATAGTTTGAATTTGTACCATTCCAATATATAGTATAAACCATTAAGTCCAAGACAGATAATTCAAAAACTAGAATATACAATTACAAGTGTTTTAAAATTTCTTAAACAAATATAAGATTTGTCCATAACTTTTTAAGAAAAATAAATATAAGATTTATCCATAACTTTTTTATGCACAATAGATTTAAGCTTAGTCCTTCAAAAAGAAATTTAAACAACTGAACTAATAGTATGAGACTACTCAACTACATTATTGTCGTCCTTCAAAGGAAACTCAATTTTTGGAGGCAACTCAATTTTTGCTTTTTCATCTGATCACATCTATAAAGGTAATAAATGTAAAAAAAAGCAAACTCAAAAAAGCACAAACAAAAGAAAGGATATGAAAATGTACAAAAAGCATTTTTCATAAAGCTATTAAACAAACCACATTTACAAGTCAAGTAAAATCATACCGTTTTAAAACACAAGTCACGTTAAAAGAGATTCTTCTAAACTCAATTATCTAGATAAATATTAATTTTGAACTATAAAGAAGTTTTAACACTTATTATAGATAATCTTCAGCCACAAGGTTAATCTAATACTAGTCATTAGAACTTCAAAAAGATCTTTTAACCAAGACCTCCTGCCACTTTCAACACCTAATTCATCCTCCTTTATATGAGTGTGAATGACCAATAGAGTATCACAATAACTTCCTAATTGATTCCCTACTTTAATGCACACTCTAAGAAACATATTTCACAATGATTTTCTCTTGAAAACCCTATCATCCTCATAGTCTATATCTCCTCATATTCTAAACATTCATATTATCATTCATCTTTGACACAACTTAATTTGCTCTAAGAACTCAAAAACCTCTAAACAACCTCAGATGTATAAGTTCTATCTACCTCTAAGAACAACACAAACATGATCAAAATATGTCATTAGAATTACTGATCAACAAAGAATCATATAAGTGACTCCAAAGACACATGCAAACAAGGTAGGTCCACATACAAAAATAAAACAAATTGAACCTAAAAGAGATTCATAAAATAAACTTACTCAAATTGAGAAATTCACCGATTGATTTTGAAGAGCTTGGTTGCATGAGTAGTCCTATTATCTTAGTTCTTTAAGGAGACAAACCAGGAATGAGACAACTCAAAGAGAAGTGAGAGAACTTAAAAAAAATGATTTCTAGAAAGATAATGAATTTTAAAGTAATGAAATGCATTTATGAAATTTCTATTTATACTTAAACATTTTTATTATTAAAATAATCGAGTCTCATTATTTTAAACACATTATATATTCTAAAATGTTATTTTATAGATTCTTACAGAATTTGTTTCTGACGAAAAATCCCTATATTGACTGGATATGGGATATTGGTAGTATCTGATATTTTTCAATTAGCTATGAGATGATGATGGGTATATACATATTCTTCTCGTCTTTGTTTCCATACCTCTTCCTCATCCTTGTCCCTATTTAAATTACTAAAACTAATAGTTAGTAAATAACCTAAAGAACTTTATATATATATATATATATATATATATATATATATGGTTTGTTAACGTGCGTATGCCTTTTTTTCAATTGGTACATTTTAGCAATGTGTACCG